AGCGTTCAGGCTCTGTGGCTCTGGATGGCGCCCTGTCTCTTTCTCTTCTGCAGAAGCCCAGCACGCGACATTGCGCTGGGTGGTGCTCTCCCCCTTGGAGTTTTCCCCGCCCTTTTACGAGGCCCAGGTGTTTCAGGCTGTCACCTAGCCGCAGCCCTCTTAGGCTGGGAGGTGACTAATTGCTCCACAAGGCGGGGTCCCTTGCTCCAGGCCTCCTGTCCCTCAAAGGACAGGCCACCCTGGTACCCCAGACAATGGGCCAGCCATGACTTGGCTTCGTGCCATTCTCCCCCTGAGCTGGGCTCTCCCCCTGCTGTGTCCACATGCCCCTTTTTCAGTGCCACTGAGCCACAGCCCCTGAGCTCCGGCTGCAGGAGCTGATGCAGAGCCGTATCTGGCCATGGCTTGCAGCAGTCAGGAAATCCTCCTGCTCTCATGTGGTGTGACCTAGAGGGCCAGATAAGCAAGCGCATGCGAGACAGCAGAGTGCACGCTGCCGAGCGTTTCCATCACAGCCAGGGGCCCGGTGCATAACGGGCTTCTCATCTCTGGCACCCCCGGATCTCGGAAAACCGTGGACCGTGCAGGAAGCATTCTCAGACCCATTCAGCCCTCAGGTCAGGAGTGGGGACTGTAGCCATCATCCGCAGCTCCCTAAAGCCTCCCGCACTGGAGCTAATCACTTCATCCGCAGCTCTCAAAGCACTTTGCATAGTCTCATTATCCCTATTTTACAGGTGGGGAAACTGAGGCACGCAGCACTAATGTGACCTGCCCAAGTTTGCCCAGCAGTGCAGCTGGGAATAGAATCCAGGTCTCCTGAGACCCAGGCCTACTCACTAGGCCATGCTGCTTCCCTGCTAAAGGAGAGTTCCCAGTTCCCTCCCTGCTCACACTTCCACCCTGAGCAGGAAAGAGAACCCAGGAGTCTTGACACACAGGGACTTATGCTGTCTATCCCTGGGAATGCACCCCAAGAATCCTGACTCCTAGCCCCCTTCCTCTAACCACTAGACCCCACTCCTCCTCCAGAGCTGGGGCTAGAACCCTGGAGGCCCCATTCACAGCCTTCACCTTAGCCATAAGGCTGTTGCTTTTTGCTCTGAGTCTGTAGCGGTGCAGACAGTGAGTACCCTGCCCTGGCCCTGCTCTGCGCTAGCTCGGTTGGTTGCCCAGTTAACTCACTCTCTGAGAGCAGGGTGCAGGCCCAGGCCAGGTCAGTTTGTGGTCATGGCTGAGGCTGCAGAGTGGTCCCCAGGGACGTGAGCCTGTGCTAGGCTCTCATTAACTCAGCAGGCTCCCAGCTCGTACGTGCTTGGATGGGAGACCACTGCAGAAAGCATAGAAAGCTGGGGTGGGTGGTTTCCACTGAGTCAGTGCAGAACCCAGGGCCCCAGTGTGGTAGCAAGAGACGCTGCGTTTCGGAGGAGGTGTAAAACCCAGCTCCTGACCGCTTGTGGTCATTAAACATTCCTACGGTGCATGTTGAGGGGGCGCAGACCCTCTGCACGCTGGCCAAATGCCCCCCCAGGTTTTTCCACTCAGCCTTTTTAAAAGGTCCCCTGTCATTTGGATTCTTCTTCGTTTCCTAACCGAAACTGCCCTGGAGGATTGTGGTGTGCGATCGAATAGCTGCCCTGTGGCCCACCCCAGAAAGGGCTGCATTTCAGAGCTGGGTGAACAAACCCTCTAGACTGAGGGCCAAAGTCTGCTCTCCCACTAACACCGGGTGTAAATCTGTTACGCTGGCGTCTCTCAGTATAAATGGACTTCGGTGGAGTCATTCCAGATTCACGATGGTGTCACCGAGAGCAGAAGCTGATGCATCAAATAAAACTGAAACCTCGGGTTGAATAAAAGGTCAGGTTAGTCCCAGGGAGCTTTGGGACCCACGGGCCGGATCCCCAGCTAGTGCAAATGGGCCTCTGTTGATTTACTCCAGCTGGGATGCTGGAAACTCTTGTAGGTTGCTGGAGCCTGGGCCTGAGGCTAACCCCACTGTTTTCTAAGGGAGTTACTCATTTCCACCAGGGGATGTGAGAGCTACCTCTCCAGAGCAGATGCAAGGCCTGATCCTTCTCCCATCGACACCAGGGTCATTCCAGTGACATTACGCCACCCTTGCTCCGGTGGGAGTGAGAATGAGGCAGCGGGCTGCTGGCGGTGGGGTAACACAACTGCAGCGCCTGTTGGAAATCCTCAGCTGACTTCAATGGCGCGACACTGATTTACACCAGCGGGGTGGGGATCTGGCCCCATTGGCTCCCATGGAGCAATGCCGATTTGCACCAGCCGGGAGTCTGGCCCTAGGTCTCAAGCAGGGACTTTTACTTCAGCGCAGTCGCATCACACAGGGCCGACGAGAGAACTCATTTTATTTCGAAGCTCGGCAGACGAGCTACAGGTAATTTTTACACGGCAGTGACCAGTCTTTGCTCTGTCCCTTTGGGGGCTCCAGGTGCTTTACCGACACCGATTAACCCCACAGCTGCTCCCACTGAATTTAACAGCAGATTTGCCAGTTACTTCAATGGAAGCCAGATCGGGCCCAGGGAGGTAGATTACATGGAAAACCGATGGCAGAGCTAGGAACAGAATCTGGGAATCCTGACTCCCCCAGCTCCTGTTGGCTTAGGCTCCACTCCTCTCCCACAGCGGGAAGTCGAACCCAAGAGTCCTTATTCAAGCTGGGAATAGAACCCAGGACCCTCTGCTCTAACCACTAGACCCCCCCCCCCCCCCCCCCGGAGCCGTGACTAGAACCCAGGAGTCCCAATGCCCAGCCCACTATCACATTAAGAGTGCGCTTCCTCCCAGACCCAGGCACTGCAGCCTATTAGCCCAGAATCCCAGAGCTCAGCTCTGACTCACCTCCTGCCCCGAACATCTGTCAGAGCCGGCGCAGCCCCCAGAGTGCTCCAAACTCAGGTAGGGAACGGTGCAACTCTGATCAATGCAAACATTGCCCTCCCGAGAGCAGAAAGCAGGGCAGAGGGGTCTGTAGCAGGGGGGCCTGCTCTTTAAGGGTAAGGGCGTGTGTGGCAGGTCCTGTGGGAGACAGGCCCACAGCCTCCCATGTCCCCTAGGGAGGCGGCATCCAAGGCTTGGAAGGATTCGATTTTTATCTCTGTCAGTAAACGTCAATTTCACCGTACACACCCACAAACCGATGACAAAAGATATTCCCATTGGTAACCATAGAAATTTACAGATGGGCAAAGTGAGAAAAAATGCTGCCTGAGAACGTATTGGGGTTTGATTTCAGGCCATTTACTTCGTATATTTTGACACGCGATGTTTGACCATTTGTGATTGAACCGTTATAAAGCTTTAACAGTTGAAATCTCAACCCCTACTTAGTTAAATAATTGCCTCCCCCCGCCTCCCCGTGTCTCCCAACTCTGAACATTGAAACCAATAAGAACAGGGGGGGAAAAGCTACCCGTAATTTTGCACCATTGTGAACATTTACATTCATTAAAAAAAATTTAAATGTCTAAAATAAACATCAATATCATCCATCAAATTATCAACAACAAAAAAATCAAATTCTGCCCCCTCCCCCCCGTCCCAAACATGCCCAGTGGCCCTGGGGTAATGGATAAATAACCATTAGATACAGCGGCTCCCTGAATATCAGGGAATACTTATTGGAAAATAAATAGGTGCACACACTTACATACATTCACAGCACATAAAGCAGCAAGGGAATGGCGGGAGCCGGGCCACATCCCCAGCGACTGGAAATCCGCTTCGCCTCAAGGACTCCGATGGATCGACACTAACGTCTCCCCGCCGGAGATCTGGGCCCGTTACGCAGGATCCTCCCCTCGGGTAAGTCTTACATCAGTGCCGCTTCCACGAACTTCCTCCGGATTTACACCGCAGCGCGTGAGAGGAGAACTTGGCCCGTTCTCGCCAAGGGCGGAGACGCAGGGCTAAATAGCGAGGGCCCGATCCTCAGCAGGGATAAGCTGGCATTGCTCCATCGCAGCCACGCTGATTTGCACCAGCTGACGAGATGGCTCTCTGACGCTCTTCCTCGGGCAGACTCCTCAGGCAAGACCCTCAAAGGGAGGTGCCCGAATCAGGATCTTCTCCATGAGCAAAGGGAACTGCAGGATTTGATCCCGTCAAGCACCATCAGTTGCTAAGCAGAACGGCAAGCCAATTAAATACACTTCCCTCCCTCCAACACCCGGTCAGCTGGCACAAACAAGCATGGAATGATTGAAGTTACACTGATAGACAGTGGCTGAGGGTCGGCCGGCCTTGGCGACCTGGAGACAAAATGTCCCATAGTCCCTTGTGGTAGCCAGTTTCTTTGTCTCTCCACTTTCAAAGCTATTTGAAAACCCGCTGGACCTGACGGAGGGACAGTGGCCAGCTACGCAGGGGACAGCATTATGGCCTGTAACATAAAGGTAAGGGAGAACCAGCATCCCTTTTTTGCAGCTAGGGACATGGAGGTACAGAAAGGCATGGTTTCACAGCAGGTGGGTGGCAGAGCTGGGGATAGAACCCAGGAGTCCTGACTCCCAGTCTCCCCTGAGCAAACTGCTCGATCCAGCTGCCTCTCCCAGAGCGAGACTAGAACCCAGGAGTCCTGACTCCCAGTTCAGTGACCTCCCCCTGGACCGACCTACTGCTTACTAGAGTATCTTCCGTCCAAAGCACTCCATGCAGTTTAAGCTTCGGGATACCCTCGTGAGGTGGCATTTTTGTGCAGCAAGCCATACAGAGAGAAAGTGTCTGGACTGAGGTCACACAGCAAGTCAGTAGCAGAGCTAGGGGACGAGGCCCCCGGAGTCCGGATTCCTAGTACAACGCCTCAACTGGAAGGCCACCCTTCCTTCTTCTGCGCTCTGTGACCAGCCTCTGAAGTTAACCTCAAGAACTGGATCCAGTCTGGGGAGCATATTAGACCGGGAAGGTGCAACAGTATTTTGGGGGGTGCTGGGTCAGAGGGATGGTCCACGTAGGAAAACCATATCAGTGGCAGATTAAAAAGCACAAGGCCTCAACCCCAAACCCAGCAGTTGCGGCTCTGGGAAGGGCCTGCTCAGATCATGAAGGTGCCAAAATAAGACCTGGTGCCGTCTCTGATCTGTAGCATCTGTCTCTGTGACACCTTGACGTAAATCTGCTCCTCCTCCTCCAGGTGGAAGATTCCTCCGAGGAAGCTGTTTTGCCGCCAGAACCTGCTGTCCTTCCCATCGCAGAAAAGGATCAGGTTCTCCACAAGTTTCATCTCCTCGACATACCTGGGGGTCTTCTTATAGATGCTATGATAGATAACGGAATTCTGGTCCTGCTGAGAGCAACTCTGCGCCATGAGATGGATCTTGGAGTAGATGTAATAGTAGCCGGGCTTGATGCAGACCAGGGAGCCGCCCTGGTAACGCATGTCATGCAGGAAAGCCCAGTCCTTACTGTGTTCCCACTGCAGAGAACCGTTCCCAGAGGTGGTGAAGGCTGCACCTGGGGAACACGATGCCCACAACATGTCAGGCCTCAGCTCCCTCCCTGGGTCTCAGCCCAGAAGGAGGCATAACTGGGAAGAGAACCCTGGAGTCCTGGCCCCATCCTCCCCTGCTCTAATCACTAGACCCCACATCCCTCCTAGAGCTAGGAAGAGAACCCAGGAGTCCTGGCCCCATCCCCCCTTGCTCTAATCACTGGACCCCACATCCTTTCCAGAGCTAAGAATAGAACCCAGGAGTCCTGACCCCATCCTCCTTCACTGCTCTAATCACTGGACCCCACTCCCCTCCCACAGCTAGGAACCGAACCCAGGAGTCCTGATCCCATCCCCCACTGCTCTAACCACGCCCCTCTACAACAGAGGTAGCAGACTATGTAGGGTTAACGAGGACTTCAACCTACCCAAGACATGAGCTGCTGGCTTCTCAGCGTGAAGTTTCCGGTCTGCAAATGAGACAAACAAACAACCAAAGGCCCAGCTGTGAGATCAGCCCAGTTCCGAGTCCTGTCCCCAGCGTGGGCTGGGGAAGAACTGCCTGGGGCTGAGTTCTGGAGATGGCCCTGGATCTGAACTGGGACTCACCCTCCAATGTAAAGCAACGGTGCCCTGTGTCCCCCCCACCCCAGTAATGTCACATTCATCTTGTCCCCCATCTGCCTTGTTCCATTGCACCCTCCTCACGTTCCCTCCACTCACTCCATTACGCCCCCATTCCATTCACCCCTCACTGTCGCAACCCCCTCTCCTTCCCTCCCCCCCCTCCTCCCGTCACCACTTCCTTCCACTCTCCCCCGCACTGGGTCTAGCCTGCACTTTCATCGGGGCCGCTATTTAATTTCTCTCTCTGTTTCCTTTCTGTCTCGTTTCCACACACACCGCGCCTCCCCCCCCCGCCGCATGCTTCACTGCACCCAGCTCAGAAAAGACTCCCCCTCCCGCCCCCCCGGAAAGCAGTTGCGGGGGAGGATGCGCTAGGCAAACATGCTGCTTCGCGTTGTATTGCAGGGAAACGTCTAGCACCTCTGGGCCCCACTGTCCTCTGCTGGATGGGGTTGGAACTGCTTAGCCATGTGTCAGAGACCCCATCCCGCTAGCAGCTAAGAGGAGATTTTCTGTTAGGGGGAAGCGTTTTTGCAGGAGCAGGGCCTGGGCCTGCAAGTTCTTTTGTGCAGCACGGCTGCGGAGCCATCCAAACCCATCCCACGGCCACTATTCAACTGCCTAGGCCAGAACCTCAGATGGTGCAAAGCAATGGAGCTCCTTTGACTTCAGGGAAGCTCTTGTAATTTGCACCAGCTGAGGATCTGGTGCACTAAAAGCAGTAAGCTCACTGGGGCAGGAACTGTCTTTTTGTTCTGTATTTAAATTGTACAGCGCCTAACACAATGGAGTCCTGGGTCATGACTGAGGCTCCTAGGTGCTACCGTAATACACCTAGTCAATAATGTACAGCACCTAGCACTGGGATCCTGAGCCATGACTACTGTATACGCTACTGTAATAAAAATCCACCACCCTGGCTTGGCAATATCCCCAGCCCCCACCCGCTGTACCAAATCAAAACCACCTCATCCTGTCCTGGGTCTTGCTTTGCTGTACGACAGGGATGCTCAGAACCTGAAAGCAGCAGCAGGGACAGGACCCATAATTTCTGTTCCAAAAAGAGCTGAAGGAGAATCTCTGTTCACAGTGTCGGGACTATGAAACATAGATGAGCAGTTCTGGTACCATCCAGCAGAGGACAGCGGCGCTCCTACACACTAGCCACCTCGTTACTGTGCTCTTGACCAACATAATCAACACATTAAAGACGTAGTGCCACTGCCAAGTCAATATCATCATCATCCCTAACTCACTTATATGCCACTTTACATCAGTGGACTCCACAGGCCTTTACAAAGGAGGTCAGTATCATTGTTCCCATTATAGAGAAGGGGAAACTGAGGCACAAAGAGGGGACGTGACTTGCCTAAGGTCACCCAGCAGGCCAGTGGCATAGAACCCAGGTCTCCCAGTCAAAGGCTCTGTCCGCTAGGCCGCACAGCCTCCAAATACCTGCAGCCATTAACATCATCGCAAAATGCTCCCAGAGCAGAATGGTACCCCGGCTCCTCACTCTAGAGTCATTGATTCCAAGGCCAGAAGGGATCGTTTGGATTATCTAGTCTGACTTCCTGTATCACACAGGCCACAGGACTTCCCTGGATTAGTTCCTGTTGGAACTAGAGCAGGTATGTTAGAAAAACAGCCCATCTGGAATAAAAAATTCCCAGGGATGGAGAATTGTAGCCCAGTGCTCACTCTGATCCATTACATCAGAGTCACGCAGCAGGAGAAGTTTCCTTTCCTCCTCCTGCCACCAAGAAGGGCTATATATATAAACCACCAAGAGGCCCGACCTGAGAGTCCCTGAGGCTATGAATAAACCTTGGTTGACCAACCCATTACAAATAACCCATTGCAATTCTTTGTGCGAGCACACATCTCTGTCCCTAGCGTGGGAGGTCTGATGCAGAGCTGTTAACCAGAGGAAATGGGGTGGGGGGTGGAGACAAGGGGGCTTCGTTAACAGAGATTAGACCCACCCCCTGTCGGAGTCACACTAGGCTTTGTGGAAACTCACTTCTGGGTAGGGTTGGTGGGACTGTTCATTGCAAATCAGTCGACCGATGAATTTAGAACCAGATTCCAAGCTGGTGTAAACGGGCATTGCTCCACCGGAGTCAACAAGGGCTATCCTGATTTACACCAGCTGAGGATCTGGCCCACCGCGTCTGCTTGGGAATAAATGGGTGAATTCTCCTCTCCCCGCTTTGACACCGGCGTAACGCCGCTGGCGAGGTCACAGCAGCGTAAGGGAGCTCACTGTCAGGCACTGGGAGATTGTAGCTGCGTTGGGCTGGTTCATTCTCCTGGCCAAACCCCTCAGCTGGTGCGAACTCAACTGAGCTACTCCCATTTACAAGAGCTCAGTTCCCATTTAGGCACCAACATATGGATTTTCCAGTGGTCAGCACCCCGGGTGCCTCTGAAGATCTGGCCTTGACTTAGGTCCCTTTGGGTGCGTCTACACAGCGGCGAGTCTCAGAGGCTGGGCCAATTGATTTGGATTCACGGGGCTTGTGCAACAGGGCTAAAAATAGCCATGTAGACATCTGGGCTCAGACTGGAGCCCGGACTCTGAGACCCGGCAAGAGGGGAAGGTCCCAGAGCCCAGGGTCCAGCCTGAGCCCAAACGTCTACCCCACAATGAAACAGCCCTGCAGCCCTAGCCCTGTGAGCCGGAGTCAGCTGACACAGGTCACCTGCAGGTGTTTAATTGCAGTGTAGACATACACTGTGTAATGTAGCGGCGCGCTTCTGGAACAAATCTGTCCTTCATTGGGAGAACCGAGCTCTTAAAATCTGGTCTGTGTTTCAGTGGGCTGGCAGCTGAGGGTTAGCAAAAGGGGGAAGAGATTTACCTTGAATGGACTTCTCGGCGATGGCCCCTGCGTCCTCCTAGAATACAAAATACAAGTCTGTCAGAAAGGCCACACACACACACACACACACTCATTCTGAGAGGCTGAACCCCTCATATCAGAGTAGGATGAAAATATTCCATCAGCATTTTTTTTTCCAATTGAAAACATTGGGCTTTTCACTAAACCAAAGGGTGTTTGTTTTTTAAAGGAAACGGCCTGATTTCCTTGAAAACTTTTGATTTTTTTTGTCAGCAAAAAAAACCCCCTACTCCCAAACCCTGAACATTTTCAGCCAAATAGTTTTTGGGTTTTGTCTGAAGAATTTCCGGGGTTCGTTTCTTCAATAAAAGGTTGACATTTCCAGTGGATCCCCCCCCCCCCCCCGCCCCCATTTTCCGACTAGCTCAACCTACCTTCCTCCCACTGGAGCTGTGATTGGCTCAGCCCCGGGCAGGATCAGACACCTGGCTACGTGGGGTGTGCAGACACTGTCACGATTCTGCCAGTGACATGGGCTGCCCAGCTGGACAAGCCTCAGGCCTGATTCTGTGAGCTGCTGAGAACCTGGGGCTCGCCTAGAGTCTCAGGTGCTTGGGCCCAGACCTTCAAAGGTATTTAGACACCGAACTCCAGTGCCTGTGAGGGTCTGAGCCTTGGCATATATGAAATTGAGGACTGAACTGCTGCAGCATAACTAAAATCTTTGGGGTTCATAGAGGGATATCTGGCTGAAATGTAATGGCCTGTGATGAATAGGAGGTCAGACTAGATCACCTAATGATCCCTGCTGGCCTTAAATGCTATGAAACTCAGGCTGCTGGGCAACTGAAAATTGGAAGCCACTTTTGAAAGTTTGGGGCAGAGTTGGGGATAGAACCCAGAAGTCCTACTTACTTACTTACTCGCCCCCCCGTTCTAACCCACTCCCCTCCCAGAGCCGGGCGTCCTGGCTCTGTGCCTGAACTTAAACCCACCCTTATAACAGGATGCAGTTTACAAGCACTTGTAGCTGACCCAGGTTCTAACACTGTTTTTGAGGGCAGCACGAGCCAGGCCAGCTCACGCTGGGATCCGCTCCCCCAGTAGGGGAGGTAAAAGACCCACAAGGGCAGGGGCAATTCAGACTCCCAGAGGAACAGCCCCTTCCCTAGCTGCCCCTCCGGCCTGTTCTCCTGCCTGCCCCTGTGATCCCCATGGTCAATGCAGATTTCTGCAGGGGTTCTTGGGGCTCGTTGGTGGAGGGGGTTGGTTGTTGGGGTGGAAGGAAGACCCCTGAAAGGAGGGGGCTTGGACACGGTCCCTGGATTTTCCCGCTGTAGAGACCCCCCAGGAGGGGCAGCGGCAGGGCCTGGGCCTGAGCAGTTTTGAGATTCCACAGGAATGTTTGCAACCAGCTAGCATGGGCGCCCACAAGCACAATGTGGCTTGAAATGTGTCTCATGTTATAAGGTGTGTACACACACACACCGGGTGTTCACACACACAGACACACACAGTAATACACAAGAGTGCCACCCCAACCTACACACACACACACACACACACACACACACACACACACACACACACA